TGCGCCCGACTCTGGGGCGCGGCCGGCCCCGCGGGCCCCGGGGCTGCCGTCGTGCCAAGGTTGAAACCTGGTCCTCCATCCACAGGTTCTCTCTCCGCCCTCCCTCCACCTTGGTTCGACGCGCCCTCCCCAACCTCGTCCTCCTCAGTCGCGAATTCCTCTTCCTCCTCTGCGATGGGAGGCAGCGACTGGGGCAGGGCGGCGGGGGCGGCGGGCACGGATTGCCAGGTGAAGTTGCGAGTTGTGATCGCTTGGTGTTTTTCGTTTAAGATGCGCACACAATCACGGTTGGTGTTGATTCCCGGACCGAGTTAAAAACACGTTTGGGCTTTCGGCTCGGACTTGTGCGTGCGCTTGACCTTGTATACGGCNCAACGCGCCCTCCCCAACCTCGTCTTCCTCAGTCGCGAATTCCTCTTCTTCCTCTGTGATGGGAGGCAGCGACTGGGGCAGGGCGGCGGGGGCGGCGGGTACGGGTTGCCAGGTGAAGTTGCGAGTTGTGATCGCTTGGTGTTTTTCGTTTAAGATGCGCACACAATCACGGTTGGTGTTGATTCCCGGACCGAGTTAAAAACACGTTTGGGCTTTCGGCTCGGACTTGTGCGTGCGCTTGACCTTGTATACGGCAGGTTTGAGGAACGGGTACGTCACCCCCGGCGGGGGAGGGTGCCCGTGCCACATCTCGTACGGCGATTATTTCCCTGGGTTGGATGTGGTGGAGGTGCAGTTCAGGGCGTTGCATGCCCAAGCTATGGCCTCGGCCCAAAGGGAGGGGCAGTTCGGTGCTCCGGGGTAAAGAGTTGGCGCTTGGATACGGGCAGCTAGTGCTGCATCCTTGATCAGACACAGTGCTCTCTCTCGGCTACACCGTTGTATTCTGGGCTGTGTGCGGGGGTGAAGGCGGCGACGACGATGCGTGTAGCATGCGCGGTCGCTGTTTCCGGTGCGGCAAGAAGGGCCACCAGGTGGCCGACTGCACCGAGAGCAAGCCCGTGCGATGTGAGACATGCAAGGGCTACGAGCAAGACAAGAGAAGGTGCCCGACCGAGAAGGCGGTGCTCGTGGTGGAAGTGCCGGCGGGGGGGGTGTCTGCGGACGCCACAGCACTGGACGTGGCAGAAGAAGCGCTGNCGAGTGTCACAAAGTCGTTGGTCGAGGGGGTGTAGAGCAGGCTAGGCGGGGTAGGTATGTTGCCGATACCGGCGCTACCACCCACATGTTCGCGAACTCAGATGGGTTCGTTCGTTACGAAGAGTGTGATCGACGTGTGCGCGTCGCCGCCGGAGAAACCTTCCCTATCGTACGGTACGGCGACGTGACGGTAACCCGTTGCTCGCGCGACGGTACGACCGACCTGTTGCTGAAACGGGTTGCACATGTTCTCCGACTAGACTACAACCTATAATAGTATCTCTCACTTCCCTCTTCGACGACGGGTTCGAAACGAAAACCCTCAATAAACACGAGTTGGAGTTGGAGAGGGGGGGGGGGGGGGGGGGGGNACGAAAACCCTCAATAAACACGAGTTGGAGTTGGAGAGGGGGGGGGGAGAGTTTGTGTACTTCCCCCGATGCGGTAACCTGTACGTCCAAAACGGTTTCCGCACACACACCGAACACGCCGCAATTGCTCCTGGCAGCGCGAAAGCGCCCAGCACCCCCGTTGACATCAACGACTTCCACTGCGCGCACGGCCACTCCCACGAGGTGCTGCTGAGGACCACGGCGAAGCAGCAGGGGACGACGCTGGTGGGCGAGCTCCGGGAGTGCCTGGGTTGCTCGACGGCGAAGGGGCTTTCCAAGCCCATCCCTGACAAGACGTCGACCCGAGCAGTTAAGGAACTGCAGCGAGTTTTCATGGATCTGAGTGGAAAAGCTAGGGTACAGAGCTTGGGGGGGAAGTGGTACACTCTCATTGTCAAGGATGATTACACAAGGTGGAACCGTGTCTATTTCCTGAAGCACAAAGCAGACGCAGCTGAGGCATTCGAGAGGTATCTTGCCGAAAACCGGGCAGACGGTGCCCCGTCCGGTGTTATGGTCGCGAGATCCGACGATGGAGGAGAGTTTTTTTAGGGAAAGTTCGGCAAGGTGTGCCGGAAGGACTGCATCAAACAGGAGTTCACCCCGTCCTAGGTCGACACCAAGGGAAGCAGGGGTGCGGGAGGTCGATTGTTGTTGTTGTTGTTGTCTTCATATTAAAAACCGTTCCGATCTCTCCTTACCTAGTACCTTCGTATGTCCGTACTGATACAACACTCGACGCGGTCGATTCCCGTGGTCGCAAGCTAACTAACCCTAGAAAGGTACACTCAAATAGAAGGGCCCCGAGGGGTCCGCAAGTCAATAGAAATCAACGACAGATATTCTGGAGTCCTCCACTCCGTTGCGCGCTATGCGAGGTAACAACTGAGACTAGGAGTCATCACCATCACGGGCCGGAGNGAAAATAAGGAAACAGTAAGGAAAGAGAAAATGAAATAAAAAGAGCGAGGACAACCAGGCCGAAAATAACAAGAAATAAGAGAAAAAGGCACACGGTGGAGAGACCACTAACGACAAGCAAATACGTAATCATGACCACCAACCAGCGATACATTGTAATGGTACGTCATCACTAGTGGGGGGTTGGTGCAATGGTGTAGCTCGGGGGGGGGGGGGGGGGGG